GTGTGTGTGTGTGTGTGTGTGTTCACTGCTGTGTGTGTGCACTTTGGATGGGTAAATGCAGAGCACTAATTCCGAGTATGGATCACATGTCACGTCACTTTAAAATTTAAAGAAATATATAAAATACAATATAATTATTTTTCATACTTACAGATATTTACAGATGGATCGAAGGAATCAAAAAATTGGATATAATACAGGCTAAAGCTTTAAGAGAATGTACTGGAGCATTCCGACATACTCCAAATAATGGCTTAATGATAGCAACAGAAGAATTACCACTAGATATAAGAAGAAACAAAATATCTCTGGCATACTGGAGTAGATTGGAAAGTAGTAAACAAGAACATCAATGGTTAGAGGGTCGGACTCGTAACCCTAAGATTGTGGGTTCGAGTCTCGTACCGGCAGGGATTGTAGGTGGGGGGAGTGAATGTACTGCGCTGTCTTCTTCAATACCACGACTGAGGTGCCCTTGAGCAAGGCACCGAATCCCCAACTGCTCCCCGGGTGCCGCAGCATGAATGGCTGCCCACTGCTCCGGGTGTGTGTTCACTGCTGTGTGTGTGCACTTTGGATGGGTAAATGCAGAGCACTAATTCCGAGTATGGATCACATGTCACGTCACTTTAAAATTTAAAGAAATATATAAAATACAATATAATTATTTTTCATACTTACAGATATTTACAGATGGATCAAAGGTACCAGAATCTGGGGTGACAGGTATAGGAATATTTATTCCAGAATTCGAAATAAGCTTATTCAAAAGATGATCAAATAATTTAGCAATATATACAGTTAATTAGTTGCAATAATGGTTGCATTACAGTGGATAGAAGATGTTAGACCAGATAGAGTCATTATATGTTCAGACTCTATGACAGCGCTAAATAATTTGGTTTCATATGAATCCATTAGAGAAGACATTTTAAATGATATATGTATGACATTAAAATCTCTAAATAGCATCATTAAAATCTCTAAATAGCATGAGAATAGCATGAGAATAGCATGAGAATAGCATGAGAATAGATGTCAAATTGTGTTGGGCCCGGCTCACCCAGGAATCAATGGAACTGAAATGGCAGATAAGCTAGCAAAAAAGGCAACCAAAAAAAAAGTATATCGAGATTAAAGTCACATTAGGAAGAGGAGAAATCAAATATTCAAAAAGAGTGGCAGAATAAGTGGGACATAGCTGATACAGAAAGATTTTATTATCAAATTAATTCATCAGTTAAAGAAGTATACCATTTTGGAAGCTGTAGGAAAGATGAGGTGATCTGAAATAGATTACAATTTGGCCACACAGGACTAAACGCATCACTATACAAAACAATTAAACATATTACAGGGAAATGTGCTTTTTGTGGGGTAATAGAAACCGTTGAACGTAATATTAAAATGTCGGAAATATAATATAGAGAGAATTCAAATGATAAAGAACTTAAATGGTAATAATAATAAAAAAAGAAGATAAATTGGATATTAGGAAAAGGATTAAGAGAAGGTAGTAATCAAAGAATAATAATGGAATATATAGCAGAAACAGGATTAAATAAACAAATTTGATAGTTAAATAAATAAATAAATGAAGCAAAGGGTTAGGGGAACACACAAGCTGGGTTTTTTGGCATGGGAGCTGAACACGCAGCAGCCAGAAATACAGCTGGGGTGAGCCCGAAATAAAATTAACAATTAAAAAAATATATAATAATAATAAAATATGAATAGAGGCGGGACTATCATCCATGTATGATTAGAAACAGTTGGTGGCGGTATGTGCCTATGGTGCGGAATACGCCAGAAAATGCCGAAGAAGAAGAAGAAGCCTCTGAACAGACGTCATCGATCGCTCGCACGGTGGAAGGCGGGCGGTTTGGCAACAGCTGATCTGTGACTGGAGAGTGCATGGTAGGAAGTGGCGTAGATTCCGGAAGTGATCCGGAAATGGAGGATGAAGTGTTAGACGCGGATGAAGGCGGGAATGGAAATAATGAATGGAGTATAGTAGAAAATCGGAAAAGAAAGAAAAGCTGGAGTAACGCATCTGAAACTGACAGTGTCGGACTCGTAACCCAAAGGTTGCTGGTTCGAGTCTCGTACCGGCAGGAATTGTAGGTGGGGGGGGGTGAATGCTCTCTTCCACCTTCAATACCACGACTGAGGTGCCCTTGAGCAAGGCACTGAACCCCCAACTGCTCCCCGGGTGCCGCAGCATAAATGGCTGCCCACTGCTCCGGGTGTGTGTTCATTGTGTGTGTACTTTGGATGGATAAATGCAGAGCACTAATTCTGAGTATGGGTCACCATACTTGGCCACATGTCACGTCACTTTAAAATTTAAACAAAATAAAGAAATATATAAAATATAGAGAAATACATACAATATAATTATTTTTCATACTTACAGATATTTACAGATGGATCGAAGGAACCAGAATCTGGGGTGACAGGTATAGGAATATTTATTCCAGAATTCGAAATAAGCATATTCAAAAGATTATCAAATAATTTAGCAATATATACAGTAGAATTAGTTGCAATAATGGTTGCATTACAGTGGATAGAAGATGTTAGACCAGATAGAGTCATTATATGTTCAGACTCTATGACAGCGCTAAATAATTTGGTTTCATATGAATCCATTAGAGAAGACATTTTAAATGATATATGTATGACATTAAAATCTCTAAATAGCATGAGAATAGCATGAGAATAGCATGAGAATAGATGTCAAATTGTGTTGGGCCCGGCTCACCCAGGAATCAATGGAACTGAAATGGCAGATAAGCTAGCAAAAAAGGCAACCAAAAAAAAAGTATATCGAGATTAAAGTCACATTAGGAAGAGGAGAAATCAAATATTCAAAAAGAGTGGCAGAATAAGTGGGACATAGCTGATACAGAAAGATTTTATTATCAAATTAATTCATCAGTTAAAGAAGTATACCATTTTGGAAGCTGTAGGAAAGATGAGGTGATCTGAAATAGATTACAATTTGGCCACACAGGACTAAACGCATCACTATACAAAACAATTAAACATATTACAGGGAAATGTGCTTTTTGTGGGGTAATAGAAACCGTTGAACGTAATATTAAAATGTCGGAAATATAATATAGAGAGAATTCAAATGATAAAGAACTTAAATGGTAATAATAAAGAAAAAAGAAGATAAATTGGATATTAGGAAAAGGATTAAAAAAAAGCTATTAATCAAAGAATAGTAATGAAATACATAGTAGAAACAGGATTAAATAAACGAATTTGATAGTTAAATAAATAAATAAATGAAGCAAAGGGTTAGGGGAACACACAAGCTGGGTTTTTTGGCATGGGAGCTGAACACGCAGCAGCCAGAAATACAGCTGGGGTGAGCCCGAAATAAAATTAACAATTAAAAAAATATATAATAATAATAAAATATGAATAGAGGCGGGACTATCATCCATGTATGATTAGAAACAGTTGGTGGCGGTATGTGCCTATGGTGCGGAATACGCCAGAAAATGCCGAAGAAGAAGAAGAAGCCTCTGAACAGACGTCATCGATCGCTCGCACGCGTCATCGCTGCCAGGCGGCTCAGTCGAGCGGTGACGTCATCGAGCGAGCGCGTAAAGATGGCGGATCCGAGCGCAAAACAAACCGGACAGAAAAGGTAAACATGCTTCATAAACAGCGTTTTGTCACGTTTTCACGGACACATCTCGCGAATGCAGCTGCAACGATGCCTGTAATGCGGAACAGGCTTTTGTGTGTCATTAAAAATCAAAACAAATCCATATTAAAACGGACACACCCGAAGAAACGTCGTATTAAAATGTCTATCAACACACGATACCTGCCTCTCTATTATCATGCGCTATTCATAATCTAGAGCAGTTTACTATTCTATATTTATAATCGGGATGTTGAAGTTCAGATCGGCGTCACTGTTCATTCCCGATCGAGAGTAAAAGCAGCAGTAAACCTCTTTAAACTCTGAAGATCACGTTTGCAGATTTCTTAGTTTTTGTCTAATTTTCCGAAAGAAGATGCTCCCTACTGAGGGCCCTTCAGATGCTCTGATGATGTCCGTTTGGTCCTCGTGACACATGCCTTTAGTGAGTTAAACAGGTGTATTAGATCAGGGTTATATCTGTCTGATGTTATTCGTCCAGCAGCCCGAGATAATAACGTGATGCTCGGCTGCAGCAGATGGTCATGTCTTTAGTAGTCTGCCTGGAGGACCTATCAGTTTAGCTAATGAGCAAATGTTGTGATAATCCAGTGAGATGTTTCTGAGATTAGGTGGAGAAACTACACACGACTGAAGGACAAAGCCAGAAGCGATCTGTGGCAGCTGTTTCAGATATTTCTGACTGGTTTCTCTGTGTGTCTGTTCTGCTGAGCTTCATTCAGTGTGTATTTAGTTTATCACACACACGTTCCTGATCAGATTCACAGAGTCTTCAGAGCTGCTCGTGCTCGAGGTTAACTTGACCTCCGCTGTCCAAACCGTCCAGAAGCACGTCTCATCACAAACACTCAGAGCCACAGGAGAGCTGTCAGAAATAATCCTAGCTGAAGAATGTGCATGATGTGTTTCAGTCTGCGTTCATGAGGAGTCCCCATGTGTTCTCTGTGAAGCTGATGTTGTGTGTGTTTCAGTGTGAAGATCGCAGCCGGAGCAGTCGTGTGTGTGGAGAGCGACATCCGAGGAGACGTGACCATCGGTACATTCACTCACAAAGCACACTTCACCCGCTGACAGTGTGATGAGACACAGATACCATGGCTTATAAACACAGACGGCTGTGCTCCTGTCCTCTGATTGGCCGGTCCAGTGTTGCTATAGTAACGGTGACATGACATCACCGGACGAGCCAATCAAAGCAATGAGTTTATGAACATTTGTGCTGTTTTATCAGGAGCTGTGAATGAAGAGCTGCTTCGCTCTGCAGGATGATAATCACGGTCTGCTGACTCTGGTTTCAGGAGCGAGGACCGTGGTTCACCCGAAGGCGCGGATCATCGCAGAGGCCGGACCCATCGTGATCGGAGAGGGAAACCTGATCGAGGAGCAGGCCCTGATCATCAACAGGTCAGCGCTTTATTACTCGCGCCGTTCCTCACGAGACGGCCCTCAGCTTCCAAACACAAATGAACATATTCTGAATAGGTTCGGCAACCGAAAATAGCAAAAACAGCTCTTTCAGTGTTCGGCTGAATAAGCTAAAACACCGAATAAAGTGTACCGTACAGTGACGTGACGCGATCAAAAAACACCCAGCGTAGAATGAGAGGCTTGCACGCTTTATAATAAAGCAAACATGTGTGTGATGTGGAAGCATTTGAAGTGTCATGAAACCCTCTGCTTCAACGCTGGTCTTTCACAGCTTAGATCTGAAGAAGACTCCAGAAATGGGCTGTAAAACTGTGGAAAAGTGGGAGAAAACAACCAATAAAACATAGACCTACAACACACTCATTACACAGACAAATGAAAATGTCTTTAAAACTGAAAGAATAAAGGCAGTTACTTTCTGCTTCCTCTTCTTTCAATTGTCTTTATATCATCGTTTGCTGTGTATCACAATAATCCGTCGTGTCATCTGCACATCTTTTATTTGAAGAAGACATGATATGTGCGTGTTCTGGGTCTGGGAGAATATGAAATATGTTCACATAAACTTGGAACAGTGATTGGATCATAAGAATTAATGCTCATGAATAATACTGAGAAAAGTACTCTCCAGCCGCGGCAGATTAACACACATACCTCACTTTCTGTGACGTTGGTTCATCTTTGCTTTTTGAACCAGAAGAACGAAAACTGGTTATTGTAGCTACTTTGTTTTACTATATCTCTTTTATGTTTGTATTTTGATCTTTTCTGCAAATGCACATATGCATCTCTTTGTAAAGTAGGCTACTTTGTATACACTGTTTTAAAAGGTGCTATATAAATAAAGCTTAAACCAATCAGACCTCCACAACTGACCGATGATAATACTACGTGAAATCTAATTGGCTGAGTGAACTGAACCTAGAATTCTTTTGACAATCAAAGATGGATCTTTAATTTCTTTCCAGTTTAATAATATTTAGCAATGTTAATGAAATGTAGTCTATAGAAATGGCTAGGAATTGGGTGCTTGGATGATTTGTACATATAACCTCTGTGCAACTGGCTGGTCTCTGAGCAATTTATCTAAAAACAACATATTATAGCCTATGGCTCTAAAGACTTCATATAAAAGATCAATGTTATGTCATAACATGTCAGATACCTCAACTGAATTTAAAATAATTGCTTCTCAGTTGGTATGATGGCAATAATAAGTAACAACTCCTCAAATCAACATCAAATGCAAAAATAGGTGTAAATGATGCAAGATATAATACAATAAATGCTCTAATAGCATCGCTGTTTGGACATTTATTGGGAGGTTTTTTTTAAATCAGTGTTTGTTCAGTTCAGTTTTTTTTTTATTACCACTTAATACTAGCTACACATTCAATGGCACTCTCCTCTAAAACAGTGAATATACAGTTATATGACAGTTACATGTAATTACATTGTCTGCAAATGCATTAAACCCAGAGAACAGAATGTAGTAATGTTATGGCAAATATGAAAAATGCATTATAGTGTTATATTTGGTCTCCAAATCGTAAGTATCGGTTTAGGTAATAGTGCTTCTGACCCATATCTAAATAGTTCTGTCTTAAATCAGAACGTTTCAGATTTAAGATTCAGGTGAGAAAATAATTCATATCTGTAGTGCATGAGCACAGAGAGATTTGAGAGTGCACAGGACTCAGTTTGAGTGAGAGGAGAGACACGTTTTAAGTGCGCGCACTCTCCGGGCGAGAAAATGCTTTTTCAGCATTGTGATTCTCTTTTATCACAGTACAGTAATACAATCTTTCATAGACATATTCACGTTTAAACTCAATAAATATAACTTTAACTACCACCATGAGTGCCATCTATTATTGCCTTGTTTATCTAAAAGTGCACTTTTCCTTGTTTTAAATCTAGCCAAAAAGCCATGTGTTGACTGAAATAGTAGACTTTAATTATATGCCTTTATGGTGTAATTACTAAATTTCCGTGTCAATCCATGTTAATTTTTACCGTGAATAATGCGCTTTCACTTTAATTCAGCGCGTGCAGCACAGCAGAAATAGACTCCATGTGGAAACGATCGCAGCGTGACTACTGCAGACGCACCGCTCCTGGAGCGCACTGCCGGACCACACTCGCGTGCTGTGTGAACGCTCTGATCCGTTAACATGGGCGCGGACAAAATACGCACCACAGGCGGAGTGTGTGAACCTGGCGTTACGTTTGTATGCCCGCCCGGTCTGTTCTGTTCTCATGCTCCATTTAGGCTTGCTGCATTCTGATTGGTTCGGATAGCGTACTGCGGGAGGTCGGGGGCGCGGAAAATCGTGCTATAAAGCGATTTAGAAATCGTGCAAGCTCAAATCGCGATTTTATGACGATTTTGATTAATCGCACAGCCCTAATGTGGGTACAGAGAGCTGGGTCAGTTTATTCTGAAGGGTGTCCAGGATGATGGTGTTGAAAGCGGAGCTGAAGTCCACAAACAAGATCCTTGCATAAGTGCCTGGTTTGTCCAGATGTTGGAGGATGAAGTGCAGTCCCATATTGACTGCATCATCCACAGACCTGTTTGCTCTGTAAGCAAACTGCAGGGGGTCCAGCAAGGGTCCAGTAATGTCCTTCAGGTGGGCCAACACCAGTCTCTCAAATGACTTCATCACCACAGATGTTAAAGCAACAGGTCTGTAATCATTAATTCCTGTGATTTTTGGTTTCTTGGGTACAGGGATGATAGTGGAACATTTGAACCAGGAGGGGGCTACACACAGCTCCAGGGATCTGTTGAAGATCAATGTGAAGATGGATGATAGCTGGACAGCACAGGCTTTGAGGCAGGCTGGAGAGACACCGTCTGGGCCTTTGGCTTTCCTTATCTTCTGCTTCCTGAAGACTTTGCATACATCCTCTTCACAGATCTTGAGTACAGGCTGAGAAACAGTAGGAGGGAGGGAGGGGGAGGGTGTTGATGGCTGTGCTGTGAGACGGTTGGAGTGGGTGTGGGGTGTCAGACCAGGCTTTTGCTTTTCAAACCTGCAGTAGAACTCGTTCAGGTCTTCAGCCAGTTGTTGATTGGCCTCAGTGCTGGGGGATGGCTTTCAGGCCTATACACACTGATTTAGAGTCATTACTTGAAAGCAGTTTTTTTAGCTTTCCAGAGTAGTTTAACTTTGCCACTCTTATTTCTCTATTCAGTGTGTATTTGGCCTGTTTGTACAAATCTTTGTCCCCACTCCCGTAGGTGTCCTCTTTGGCCTGGCGAAGCTGTTTGAGTTTTGCACTGAACCAAGGTTTGTCATTGTTAAATGTTAAATAAGTCCTGGTGGGAACACGCATGTCCTCACAAAAACTAATGTAGGCTGTCACTGTGTCAGTAAGCTCATCCAGATCAGTAGCTGCAGCCTGAAAAACACTCCAATCATTAAGTTAGAAGCAGGCCTGTAAATCCTGCTCTGCTTCAATGGTCCATCTCTTTACAGTTTTTACTACAGGCTTAGCAGATTTGAGTTTCTGCCTGTAGGCTGGTAGAACAACCCTCTACGCACACCTTGGCAATATAATCGCCATTCGCTAGTACATTTTTTTGTTTACTCGCCAGACTGATAAACTATTTTTCTCACACACACACACACACATGCGCGCGCTTACTTAGCTATCTAAATGGGGACATTACATAGACTTACTATTGTTTTTATATACAGATAGTTATACACCTAAACCCACCCCTACCGCTCACAGAAAACTTTCTGCATTTTTACAATTTCAAAAGTAAAAAAAAAACTTTGTTTACTTTATTTGTATAACAGTTTTACAAATGAGGACATCCACAAATTTAGGAAACCGTTTTTAAAAAGGAGAACATCCAAAAATTTAGTTTTTTGCAGATTTTGTCAGGTTTTGCTCACTTTTGGGTACAAATTAGTCCCCAAAATATGGTTTAGTAGGTACACACACACACACACACACACACACACACACACACACACATGATTCCACCCAATCAGCTTATTTTTGTCAAATGGAACAGCTTCTTAAATAACTGAATGTGCACTCTTAACTTCAGCCAATCAAGCATTATATTATGATATTATGATAATTAAGCACTATATAATGATAGAACTAGTGATTAGAACTAAAACTTGGTAACCATCAATTAATGCATATTTGTCATTTTAACTGAACTTCGGACTGGTGGTGGTGTTTAAGATATTGTTGGTTATCGGTAAATAGTAATTATTATTAAAAGATACTACTACTATTATTATCTGCTGGGTTCATGAATTTTAATCATGTTGTCAGCGTTCGCTCGAACTGATTTGCTGAAATCAAAACAGGGACGGTAATAGATGAGCGCCAGCCAATGAGAGCTGTTCACGCATTAGCTCCGCCCACTGCCGAGAAACCGGCATATCTTCTGCTTGTTCTTAAAAGCTGGATAATTCTAAATGAACTCTGTTATTTTGACAGGAAAATACAACAGAGAATATGGTTTACATGTAGCGCGTCGTATGCAAGACTCTCGCTCTCTCTCTTTGCATGTGTGAGAAACACAGCGATATCAGCAAAGCGACGGCGAGTCGTGCTCCTTCACACTAGTTTACGGTGCGCCACATACAGGTGCGCTGCGTGCTACATACTGCGCATCCATTGAGTACATGACATGATCCATTGAGCGCATCCACATAGTACAGATCGCTTGACGGAGAGCGAAACTCTCAAGCGTTCAGTCAGTGTTTATCGAGTGAAAATCTGGGTTGAACGCCTCTCACACACATACTGGCGAGTAGAATCTAAGAATTTATTATCCAATGGCTAATGTTAGACATTATTTAGTCGCCCAGAGTAAGATTTAGTCGCGTATACGAGTGATTTACTCGCAATGTAGAGGGTTGTAGAAGATGAACCAAACAGTGATCAGAGAGTCCCAGAGCTGCTCGGGGGACAGAGTGGTATGCATCCTTTAAAACCGTGTAGCAGTGGTCCAGTATATTGCTGTCTCTGGTGGGGCACGTGATGTGCTGTCTGTATTTAGGCAGTTCACGGGTGAGATTAGCTTTATTAAAATCTCCGAGAATGATAATG